TCATTAGGAAATTACATCATTACATGGCAGTGATATGAACATTCTGCTCAGTTTGTGGTGTTTTGTCAGAACCCACAAAGAAGAGACCCATAAAATGCTGTGGGCAGCGAGGCAGAAAACACTTAACCAGCCAGTGACTCAACTCCTTAGCCAGTCCGTGACTGACAGTCCTGTTTCCTTTCTGGCTCTGTATGCTTGGAACCACATCAAAGCAAGTACCAAAAAAAGGGTGGCTACCTGTCACCTGTTACTAGAAGAAACATTTGATATTTCACCAAACCGAATCGAGATGCACCAAAAGTGGCCTTGGGAACAAAACCTCAACATTTTGGTTTTGTAATTCCTCTTAATTGGTTCTATTTTGAAAATGGTAGAGATTTGTTTACCTTAGTTTTAGAGATTTTGTCTAGCAACGATGTTCAAAAAAGAACCAATTTGGAATTGGAAAACCAATACTGAACAAACAAAGATTTTGGTTTTGTGTTCAGGAAACTCCCAAGACCTTCAATCCATTGAGAACTTGTGGTAAGTCCTTAAGAGGTGGGTGGATAAACAAAAACGTACAAAATCTGGTCAACTCTAAGCATTGATGGTGCATGAATGGGCTGCCATCATTGTTTTGCCAGCAAAAATACACAGATGTTTTGTTTGCAAAGTCCAAAAGTACTCAATATTTACTTTGTCAGAACGAAATGTGTCAACACGCTAACATCGCTAGTATTTAAGTTTGTTTACTAGGAAATTTTGTTAGGACACTGTTTAAAGTAGATTTGTTGTTGATGCCAGTAAAAGCCAAGGTAACTGAGTGTTAGGTTTCAGTTGGTTTATCTTAAATTGGCTGTGATTCTGACAACTGAAATGATGTCAGATACTCATTAAAAAGACTAATTTCAAGGAGCTGTGACTGGAGACGGCTGATTATTTGTGAGAGAAACGTTGCTCCTGAGACGTTTTTGATGTTTATCTGAGTTGGCAGGCTGGTTAAAACAAAGCTTCCTTTCAATTAGCATGGTGGGAACAAAAACAAAGCAAGTTCTTGTGCTAAAAAGTCTCCTCTTTAGACAAAAAAAAATTATGGTTTGATTCTCACTGGAAAAGTCAGAGCTTTGTCACAGATTTATGATTTCTCTTTAAGCCTTTTTGCTGTCCTCGGGGAAGTTCAGTCGGGGTTGCAGCTGGTCTGTGTGACAGCACAGCCGTCATCATAAGCAGCATAAAAACTACCTTAATGGTTCTAAGTCTGCCCAACAAACATCTCATCTCTACAAACATCGAGTGCTGTGATTGGCCTGGCCTAAACTTAGCCAAGCCAATGGTAAACCTGCTTATGCTACAATGGATAATGGCTAGACCAACCTGCAGAGCAACATTTTTTGCTACTGCTAAGGTTTGTCTAGATTTCTATGCTATTGGTCTCTAGTATGAATTAATGAATGCCTTGTGAATAGTTTCCTGTGGGGATTTAAAAAAAAGCTCTGGAGCTTATGTTTGAAGGGTCAAATATTGTTGCAGGTTGAAAAATGATATTGATGTTATGCAAACGTCTCACCTCTGATTGGATAACAGCAATGCAAATGCAACATTCTTTCCACAATTAACACAAGCCTGAATGTGTAGCATGTTCTGCTGCATTTAGTTTTACTGATAATCTGGTATTAAATGGTGATGATGAGCAGGAAAACCTTAATATCACTTTCCTATTAAATGTCCTGATGTTGCTGCTTCTGATTAAAATTTTTTCTATCTATATGGTTTATTTTAAGTGTCTTTCTGCGTGTAATGTTGTTTTCTGTTGTTGCTGATTCCCCACTTTGCTGATGCCTCAAGGATGCTTTGATGGATTAAATCTGCGGAATAAATCCTATTTGACATGATTAAATTTGGAATTTTGCAGAACTATCAAAAGTTGTTTAGGTTGACGTTTTAATGCATTGCTGTTCCTTATTATTTTGTGTGTGTGTGTGTGTGTGTGTGTGTGTGTGTGTGTGTGTGTGTGTGTGTGTGTGTGTGTAACTCTTGGCTCCTATCTGCAGTAATCTATCATCGGATGTGATCAGATTAGTGTGGATTATACTGACTATTAAAGGCTCAGATAAATCACACTCTGAAACATTCATTTGGGATGCTAACCCACAAACCCTAGCAGATACAAATATAAGCTACACACACACACACACACACACACACACACACACACACACACACACACACACACACAATCTGTTAGAACAGCAGGTGTAAGAACTCAGTCTGCATTGATTTGTTTGGAGATTTTTATCAATAAGAATAAAAATTCACCATAATAATAAAACTATTCTGATAATCTGAGTTCATTATTGGTTGACTTCATGAAGGTTTGCAGCAAATATTTTCTTAAAATCACTTGGATCTGGTCAGAAGTTTTCTCTGTTCACTCCCTTTTTTACTTGCAGCTCGAAACTTCTCAGATGGACTGTTTCTTTACCCACATAAAATTTAAAGAGTTGTCCTCTTTAAATGAATAAACTACCAAAGATGCAGATAAACACAGAAAAACGAAGCCTCAAAGGGTAGACAATCATGCAAAGCCAGAAACGAGTTCAGGCTTTTAGACATTTTTACTTTAGTGCTGGCTGGCCATGAAATTTTTACCAATACGAAATGTTTTCTAGAGCATGAAACAGGAGTTTAAAAAGCGAGAAGGCTATAGGGATGGGTACCTTTGACATTTGAATCGATCCGGTACTAATTCCCGGTACTTACGAATCGATACCGGTACTTAACGGTACCAATTTTTTGATACTTTTGAGTGTTTAATATTTTAATTCTCTTTTATAATTAGATATATATTTTTCTCAATTTATAACCATATTTGATAAATAACATACAACTGTTTGTGTTTTAACATCGTCCTTGTAGTTTTATAAGCTGATAATTAAATTGAAGCAAACATCTTTACTGTGAACTAAATTTACTGTGTATCTTCATTCCTTTTGCCGGCTTTTTTTCATTTGATTTTTCCTACTGGGAAGATAGAATTTCCGAGGAGAAAGCGAAAGCACCATTAGATGATAACATTGGTGGCATAGGAAGCTAACATATCAAGCTACGTTATCTTAAACAGTTTATTTAACTGCTGGAGCAGATTTAAACGATGATGCCTCACACTTAAATCGTTGTCACTGGTTTCATCTTCATCCAATCACCCGTCGCATTTAGTAAAGTGAAACCAAACTTTAGAGCGCGTTCATGTTCTTCTAGTCGGAATTTCGGAGTTCCAAGGAGAAAGCGAACGCACCATTAGTGAAACGGAAGCTAACAAATCAAGCTAACGTTATCTTACATTTTATTTACCTACCGGAGCAGATTAATATGAGGATGTCTCACTTAGATCTTTGTCGCTGGTTTCATCGTCACCCAGTTACCCATCACATTTAGTGAAGTGGACCCAAGCTTTAGCGTTTGTTCTTTCTACCATGCTGCTCTGTTTACAACCTGCTCGCAGCGACCGATGACATAACGCTCTTGCACATGCGCAGCTGTCTAGGCAAGTTCTCGTTGTGAAGGACGGGTACCGAAACGAGGCACCGTTTTAAATGAAGTGAATCGGTGCTCGGTCGGTACTGTGGAATTCGGTCGGTACCTTAAAAAGTACCGAATTCGGTACCCATCCCTATTTACAATGCAGAGAGAATCAGATTAGAAACTTTCTTTCTCCATTGTGTGCAGAAAGTGTCCTTTGGATGAAAATGAAATACTAAAGATGTTGAAATACTTGACAAAGGAAGTCTGCTTTTATGAAATGTTCTAGTATGCTTGTGTCATCATGCAAGGTTGCAAGAACGGTGGAAAAATTGGTGGTCTGTGCAAAAATGTTACTTAGTAATATCTTGGTTTTGTAGTTTAGAAGCATTTCATTCCATTGCTAAACATTGTTCTGAAGCGTCACTTTACTCATGCATTTCCGGCTCGTTTTTTGGGGTTTATAATAGTTTTGCTTTTTTTCTCTCTGGAGAACAGCGGGACATGTGTCAAACAGAGAATCACCTAACATCTTTTAGAGTTTGTAGAGAACAGTGATTTGTCTTGGTTGGTTGGTCACGAGCTTTGCGTAGTGACCGAAAGAATGAGATTGCGGATACAAGCAGTCAAAAACAAATTTTCTCCGCAGGGTCGCTGGACTCACCCTTAGAGATAGGATGAGAAGCTCGGTCATCCGGGAGGGGCTCGGACAAGACCCGCTGCTCCTCCACATTGAGAAGAGCCAGTTTAGGTGGCTCGGGCATCTGATTAAGATGCCTCCTGGACACCTCCCTGTTGAGGTTTTCCGGGCACATCCAGCCGGGAGAAGACCTAAAGCAGAGCTATTCAATTCTGGGCCTCAAAGGCCAGTATCCTACACGTTTTGGTTTTACCCCTGCTTCAACACACCTGATTTCAAGTAGTAAGTGAATAACAGGCTTCTGCAGAGCACAGGCAATTAACCACTCAATCAAGTGTGTTGGACCAGAGAAACCACTAAAACATGCTGGATACTGGCTCTCAAGGCCCAGAATTGAATCCTTCTGACCAAAAGGAAAAAATTGCCACTTGTACACAAGCATGAACTCCACTTCGCTCCGCCGGTCCCAGCCTGGCCACGTTTATTCCACACTGCCTTAGGAATGTGAATGTGAATGAGCACAGGGGCAGTCTGTGGTCTGTGATGTCATTAGAGTCGCTCCGAGCACGAGGGCGGGACAAAAGAGCGCTTTTATTTACCTAAATCTTTTTGTAATTTTTAACTCAAATTTTAATCTTTCATCTGCTTATGAAATTTTATAATCTTATGACTTAATTTTTTCTGATGTTAATCTGATTCTGTTTTGAGAGCACTTTGATTTTATGACTTTGTTTTATTTTGTTTTGATCTATGTGAAGCACTTTGTGATTCTGTCTGTGATAAGTGCTATATAAATAAAATTTACTTACTTACTAGGAAGTACGCGGTGTCTAACTAAACGGGAACTCTGCCAACTCAGTCCAGGTGGAGTGGAGTCGATGCCAGTGTGTTAGTGCCATTAGTCTCTTGGCTGGCCAGGAAACGCTTTAGGATTCCCCCAGAGGAGATGGCCCAAGTGCCTGGGGAGAGGGAAGTCTGGGCCTTCGTGCTTAGGCTACTGCTACTGCCCCCCCAGATAAGTGGCAGAAAATGGATGGACTCAAAATGTTTGTCTTTAATGAGACAGCGGTTAAAGTGCATCTCTTTGCTTTTCTGAGCCAGGACCATCTGTCTGGTGACAGCCCAAGCAAGGCTGTCAAGAGACACCACAGAGAGCAGAAAGATGTCACATGAAAGAAAAAAGGATGGCTCTGACAGCAAGAATAATCGACAGGTAGACATGATGAATGAAAAGACGCCATGACATTTGGTTCATCTGCAGAGTAAAAGTTAATATATTTATATGGATTTAAAAAAGATTTGAGAAAATCTGTATGTTTAGTTAATGGGAATGCGTTTTTACCTACTTTTGACAAGTGTGCATATTTGGGTGCAAATTAAGCTGCAAGTGCTGCAGAATTTGAATAATGATGTTTGGGCTGGCTATTAAAAATAATGTTTCCCCCAAATGATGATTTTATTTTTTTTAGATGGCCATAAAACCACGTGGCAGTGATGGTGCATTATGTCTGCCACACAAGTAGATGGGTAAAACAGGATGTTTTTTTCTGGTGCTTCGTGCTGGTACACTTAAGTCTGAGACAAGGAAGATTTCACCAAGAGCCATTCATGTGATGCGTGTTGTAAAAAATTGCTTAACATCTGCTCCCTATACACGCTGTTAGATGATGATGATTCAGTCAGCAATAAGTCGTACTTACTGCCATCATTTAATGGTAAATCACATGGGGTTCTCAAAGCACTCCATTGTTCTCATCATCCTTTTTTTTTTTGTCAGAAAGGCTTTCACAAACATCAGCCTTATCATTATGACCACCTTTGACTAGTACATGAACAGAGATCATCTGGTACCAAAACACAATAGGTCCTTTGGGATATGGTGATTTGACAAACGAATTAACATCCCTTCCCTACTTTTCTGCACCGTTTATTTCTCCAAGTTTTCTTTCACTGAAGGTTAATAATTACTCTCACACACACTTTTATTGTTCTACATTTTCCCCCCACCATTTTAATGCCAATATACCCACAAGAGACTCGAGAACACTTAAACCATAGATCACACCAATTACTGAACAATAACCTGCTTTATCTTGGGAACTATGGTGTCTGAGTTCAGTCTAAAGAAGTACTGCTGACACAGAGCTGTTACTGCTGCCCGATCCTTTTAATGCACTCACTTTCAAATTAAAGATCTAAATAATAGTTAAATTCAGGCTTTAGGTCACAGCGGGAGAAGCTAATTAATAGTTTTAATGGCTGAATTCCATTTAGCTGCTCTGGCTTCAGTGTCCTGGTATTAATGCTGCAGGCTGATTTTCACACAGTCATCATCTAAACACTTAAGAAGAACAGAATTTGTTAGTCGCAGATGGCCTTTTTTTCCTCCAGCAAGCCCAAATGTTAAACAGACTTGCACCATGTGATGCTGAAAGAAAAACCTGTTAGTTTCACTGTGTGCGACAAATAAACAGCGTTCACCACGAAGTCTCCAAGATGTCTCAAATGGTTTGTGATAGTTGGAACTTTAAACATGTTTGCAACACTAAATGTCTTCTGAAAAATTAGCTCTTACATGAATTTAAAGGGCTTGTTCACTGAGAATTCTTGTAATACTTGTGCTTTTTAAAATATTGTCGGTCATCTGAGTTGCATAGGCATGCTGAATGTAAAAATAGTTGTTAACCCCAACCCATCAATTTTTGCAAATATATTTAAACATTTTAACATTTATAAATAATTTCTGAACATTGACATTTTCATAACAACATATCTTTAGACAAAAGAAAACAGTTTCTAAATGTGTATGTGGAGAAAATGTAAAATACAACAAAATCTGTTTTTCTAATACAGTTCATACCAGTTGTCAGGTACAGAAGATGAAAATATCTATGTTCCTATGAAGAGCTTGTAAACGGCATCAGCTTGGGAACATCACTTGATAAATGAAACCAGAGTCCAGATGTGCGTCTTTATCAGAGATGCTCTGCATTCATGGGTGTGTCCTTTTTGTAGTTGTCAGTAGTTGAATGAAGAAAGTTCTATGTGGAGTGTTGTTAGGAAGTGAACCCTGAAATAGCTCAAGTCTTGCCCAATTCCCTGAAAGAGTTGCTGAAATACCTCAAAGGTGTGTTTTAGGTCATTTAGATGGTTCAGATTCAGATGGTTCATCAGTCCCATCAGCGTCCTCAGGGAAATGGGCACATCACGTAGGTGACTGATGGTGTCCTCCACAACGATGGCCACATCACTGTAAGCAGCTGGAAGGGGTTGACTCCCATCATGATTTTGATCAACATTCCTCAGACAAAATCTTCTTAATCCATAGACTACATGAGAGAAAAAAGGTTGCAGTTGAGTGTTAACTACAGGTATAGTGCCAAGGTGAGCGGAGGAAGTTTATCATCTTTCTACTTATTCCGCCTTTTCTGGGATCCACCGATTTCCCTCTTTTCTATTCATTTTCTCTTTCCCTTTCCTTACATTTTAATCAAAATTTAAAATTTTGTAATTGTAAATATTTTTTTAATCATTTAAAAAAATATTTTTTATATTTTACATTTTTTGTTTTTGTGAAGCGCCTTGTGATTTTTATCTTGAGAGGCGCCATATAAAAGATTGTTTTCTTTTTTTTTTTCTATTGGTCAGTTATATTTTTAGGAAGGTTCACCTAGAAGGAAATGAGAAAGTTTATTTATTGATGTGCAGCAGGCTGGAGGGGGAAAAAATGCTACTGATTGCTCTGCCTCCCTGAGCATTGATCCAGTGGCTTTTATTATGGACAGAAGGATAATGTGTGCACTTTGTGTGTAGTAAAGGTGTGCGTGAAATGGTTTCTTTGCAACAATGAATAGATTGAAAGAAGGGAATGCCAAATTGTTTTTCTGGATTTGTGTTTTCTTTGCTATACACACTTTTCTCTCAAGTCACATGTTTATCTTTTTTGGGAAGTTTTATGTGTGTAATATTTATGATTTATGTGTGTGTGTTTGCTTCCAGGATGAGTGGAGCTCCAGTTATTTGTCCAGCAGGGGAAAATCTCACAGCTCTGATGAGAAGGCAAACGAAAAGTTCCACAGCTCGGCGACCCTGGCTCCAGGTGGGAAACGCCTCCTCCCTAAATTAGCTGACCTCAGTAATCGTCTCTTTTCTTGTTTTTTAAAAAGCGTAATGGTGAAAAGTTGTGTTTTAAAGGTGTTTAGTCTTTTCCTGGAGTTGTTGGTTTTTTATTTATATTTTTTACACTAATTACTTCTTAATTTTTTTTTGCTTTCATCCCTTTATTATGGATTTAGCTGCACAACAGTCACACTTTATTTTAATTTTAATTTTATAAAGAGCTAAAAATGGGTTTAATAAAAATTAAAAAAACAAAATTTCATTGTTAATCTATTGTATAGGATTTTATTATCTTAAATGTCAACTTTTCTAAACTGATTATGACAAATTTTGTTCTTATTTGACTGTAGATTTTGTATAAGATGATCGAACTGCAGAGATCTTATGAAATATTTTAACCACACAAATGTCAATTAAATGTCTGTTTCTTCAAGAGAAATTAACAATGAAAAAAGAAAGTTAGGACAAACCGTTTCATCCAGCTCTCTAATAAATAGATAAAAATAATAAATTATAATGCAGAGTTCATAAAGCCACAAAGAAAGCAAACAATAGTGCTCTTCCACCCACACGTTAGCAAACACTCTCTCAGGGTCCTACGGCATAAAGGAGAAAAGAGGAGCGAGGATCAGCTGGGGAAGGAAAATCTGGGCTGATTCATGATTTCTCATTCGGCTCTCATCGTCATCCTCGACTTGCAGCAGCAATAGTCGGTGCTCTCTCCTTTCAAACCCGTGACCTGCAACTGCTGAACAGTTACTGCTTTTATTCCATCCAGCCGCAGCAATGGAACCCCATTTGAAAGTCAAAATGAGGCTATTTCTACTTTGCGGGGGTATTACACTCAAATGCGACACAAACACTCTTTGAGAATGGTAGAGCGGAATGAAGTGCTGGATAAAAGAAAGAAACCTTTTTATTTTATATCAGCCTGTTGATGTTTTTTATTTTTTATTTTTTTCTCTCAGATGGACTTTAGACCTTAAGGAAGCAATCCAGAGTCGTGTTGAAGTGTGTTTGTTAGAATTGTAATTTAATCTAGTAACACTTTACAATAAGACTCCCCTTGTAAATGGCTGATAATTTATGGATTAATTTTCTCTGTAAACTATCCATAAATGATTAATTAGCCTTATGCATTAATTATAGCAAGAAAGGGAGAAAACAGACAATGTTTTTGCCAAATAGGGTGACAGATTTCTTCACCTATGTATTTTTTTCAGGTTTTTTTTGTTTGTTTTATTTGGGACAACTTGTGAATAATTAGAATTTTGCCCTGTCATAACAGCATGTAGCTAGATAGCTAGTGAACCACTAAAGCAAACCAAAGAAATTTCACCCAAGGCTTGCATTTCTTAACTGAATATCTTTATAATTGTTTTATCACGATAACTACAATATACAAAAATAGAAAAAATACATTACCAACACACACATCTTAAGAGTTGGACTTAGCCGCGCTTTGCATGTGCATGTTACTTTATCACACCCAAATATTCCCTGAACAGATTGATGGTTAGAAAGACAAATGTTCTCCAAAGTGCAAATGTATAAAGCAAAATTACCAAGCTCACGAGCTGTTTATTTTCTCCTTTCTGCTTCCTTGTAAAAACTGGGAATGGACAGTTATAGGTCTGAGTTGACAGCTCTCATGTTTTGCACAGACATTTAACAACGATTCTTTGCAAAGCGATTTAGATCCATTTTCAAAATCAAACATTTTAACATTTTTTATCATTAATTCACTTGTTCTATTTATTGACCTAATAATCAAAAAATTTCCCATCCATCCATTTTCTGAACCCGCTTGTCCACGCAGGGTCGCGGGGGGTATCTCCAGAGTTCAATGGACAATCAGGCAGGGTGCACCCTGGACAGAGAGCCAGTCCATCGCAGGGCAACACAGAGACACACAGGACAAACAATCATGCGCACACACACACACACACACACACATACACACAAGGGACAATTTAGACAGACCAATTAACCTAACAGTCATGTTTTTGGACTGTGGGAGGAAACCGGAGCACCCGGAGGAAACCCACACATGCACAGAGAGAACATGAGAACTCCATGCAGAAAGGTCCCAGGCCGGGAAGCGAACCCAGGACCTTCTTGCTGCAATGCAACAGCTCTAACCACTGTGCCAATTCGCAGCCCCAAAAATTCAGTCTTGCATCTTTTGAAGAAGTTAACGACGACCTTGCATAATCTGGCCCTGCAATAATATGAGAATAACAATGCATGCATCCTTGCTGTTGCACGTTTAGATTGGTAATAAAATCACCCGAATGCATCATTCATTTAGCTGCAGGGACAGGTTTTCACCACAAGTGCAGATTAAGTAAAGGACATCAAGCTGTTGCATGCAGCTGAGTCGCTGTTTTGTAGTCATGAGCAGATTTTTTACCTTCTGTTAATTAAGATGCCAGACGTGCTGCAAGAGAAGTCACACAAGCACATGCTTTCGATAAAGAGCTCCGTTTGTGTCTGTTGTGCTCGGACCCATCACTGCTGAGCGATGCTGTTATCTCACATTATCACATGCATTATTAACAAGCAGAAACACTCGACTAATGAGCTGCGTTAATATTAGTGAAATTAAACAGGATGACTTCACCCACTGGGGCTCTGTGATCTCACCTGATGGTATTTTTTATTTTTATTTGAGAAGATGTTTTATTTTTTTCTAACTGCTTTTGTGATGAATCTTCTTTCTGTGTTTTCCGCCATTGCAAAAGTGTCCATCTGTCTCCTGAATCCTCTCCAGCTTAATTCATGCTGCATAACTTTCCTGTCAGCCTCTCTGAGCGTGGAGTTGTTGCCTTGTCAGACCGCAGCTTGAAGCTGGGAGCTTTCGTTCCTGCCACTTTTGAAGGATTCTTGCATCAGTGGAGCTGCTGCCTACATTTGATATTCACGCTGATGTATCATCCCCTTTATTACAGGGATGCGTTTCAGCCTTTGTGGCGGTTTTTGGTGGGGTCTATTATTTTTAGAGTGCACTGCTTTGTCTTTATCATCTACTCACCAAAGATCTACAGATTTTGTGAAGGAACTCTGATTAATAGTTTTTCAATTTGAATTAGAATTTTTATATATTGATTTCCAGATTTAAATGATTAATGCAGTTTTGTCAATGCTTGTGCATGTGTGCACTTGTCTCCAGGTAAGGTGCGCTGGCAGGATTTTGACCAGGATTTGTACGTCGGAGCAACGGTGGTCCGACCAGGACAGGACCCATACGCCAGGAACAAGTTCAACCAGGTGGAGAGTGACAAACTCCGAATGGACCGAGCTGTTCCGGACACCAGACATGATCAGTACGTATGCGTTCTCTGTGATTAGAAGTCATTAAAAGTGAAAGAACGGTGTTGTTCCTTCTAACTACATCCATCCTGTGTCTGAGTGCTTTTGTTTCCTGTCCTTTTGTGGCTCATCAGTTTGACTAATTAGACAGGATAAGATCTCCAGGGACCCTGAATTCATTTTGACCTATCGGATAAAACCAGGAGTGCCTTCAAACCGCACCCTGTAATCATCACAGATCTTTGTTGGTTAAACAGACTAAAGGACGAGAATAAATGGTTTCTATCCCTTAGAGAAAATCACATTTAAATCCATGTCTGTCTATTGACCCCCTTTAATCTTCACATACGATTTTAATTCGAAGCGAGGAGCGTAAAGCTCTCAGAAGATTGATCTGGTTTTCCTCTGAACTTATCACCTGCAGCTTTTTTCATGCAGACTATTTTCACACAACAAAAAGGCCTAAAACAATGTAGATGTGCAAAATTATAATAAGATGAAATATTTTAATGCATGAGATGAATTTTCAAACCGTTACATGTAAATTATTAACAGGCTAACAAGTTTTAATCCTTGGGTCGGCCTTGAACAACAAGGTAACGTGTACTCTTTAATCTAAGGGGTCTTTAATGGTTTAATTTGCGGTGTTTTCATGTTAATGGTTTCCAGTTTCAGTAAAAAAACCAAAGCTATTATTTCTTCAGCAAGCCTTTCAGCTCTTTACGGGGCTGTTCCTCAGCTCAAACCAGGGTGCAGACTAAATGTTTTAGTTTTTTATAGAAATTAATAAAACCATATTTATGTTTCCTCTGACGTTTTGAGTAACGGTGTTTTCCTCTACCTCCTGAACGCCCTTCTATTGTTTGTCCGATCTGAACCACCTGAACTTCCTGAAATAATTAGTCTCCCACAAGGCTTGTAGTCGCTAATCTTACCTTGAAAACAAAAACAAGCAACCAATTAGATTCCTGAATTTATTTATCTCTGGTTTTCTGGAGGGGATAAAATTAAGACTCAGGGTCAAAACTTTTGTATTTCATGGGACATTAACTTGAGCAAAAATTTAAAAAAAAAAGGTAAAGAACAAACTATTTTTTAAGTGCAAGAATTTGGTCCTGTATTTGTCCCTTGAATCCTTATTTTATTTTTATTCATCAGTCCTTCGTGCTTTCACATAATTTCTTGATTGTTTACCAAAAACAAACTGCTAAGCTGCTGATTCTCTTTTTTCCATTAATACGAAGCCAGATTAGTGGCTTTAGAAAGTACATCTAGGTTAAATTTATGATTTGTTTGGCATCACCTAGCTGGTTCACTTCTGATTTGGGCCTGTTACTACGGCAACCAGACCTGCAACCACCTGCTCCGGAGCAGGTTTAGGTGTCTGGATTAGCGATGACACAAACCACATTTCTGCTATTCGTTGTCTTGATGAATAAATAAACATAGTCTTTGTGATGAATATTTATTAATTATGGAGACTTTTCATGGCATTTTATTATTAAATTGAAAACTGCAACCATTTGTTTTTATTTTTAGTGATCGTACTTCAGATTTTTGTAAAATAGGCGATGTGCTTCATGGAAAAGTAATCGTTAGAAATAAAGAAGTAAAACAGCTGCTATTATTGTTCTAATAGGGGTTTGTTGTTAAAATCAGTTGGTGGGTTTTTGTGCCGGCAGCAACTGAAGACATGCACTGTTGATTTCTGGGCTATTTTTATAAACGCAGCGGTCTAACCCCACTGATCTATTGACCTAACTTGGACAGCCGGAGCCATTAGCCCACTAAAAGTGCAGGGACGTGCCTCCTATTGATCCTTCGCTGATGTGTCACTTGCACAGAGCTGATTGTTCAGGTTTTCGAGGAACGGAAAAGCTTCCTTCCTTTCACCCGTGCCCTTGTGAATGTGCTTTGAAGAAAAGATCAAAAGGACTTTCAGGTTTGTCACCAGCTGTAATGAAACAGCTTTTTGTGAGTGTGAGTGGAACAAAAAGACCTTGATTTTGAGATCGATGCAGGTGCATTCAGCAAAAGTTTCAAAGCCAAAATAACCCACAAGTGCTCCAACATTAAGACTTCTCATTATCACCTGTTTGACTGAATAAACATGCTTTTTAAGGATGTTTGAAGCATGAACGCCGGTGTGAGGAGCCCAGTGACTGCCAACAAGGTTCGTGCTGGAAGACGACTGGACCGTTTCCAGGATTTGACTCAGTAGCTGCGTTTTAATTGCCCGCACATGCTACCCCTCCTCCCCCTCTTCGGTCAATAAGTGTTTTAAAACCTCAATGGACCGTATCTTATCTTGACATCAGTATTCGTCATTTTTAAAATTGAGCAGGATTTGTCTGTGAGCACACACAAACGCAGTCGCTTGTGTGCTTGTGTCTTTTGTGTCCCAAGCCCCTGTCAATCACAGCTTCAGCGGAGCATCTTTGTGTATCAGGGTGTGTTCATACATCCCCGTCATGTGTGTGGATGTGTGTAGGGGAGCACCTATATGTTAGTGCAGAATCCAATTTTTCATGTTCAACGATTCATAAATCTTTAATTGGAGTGGTTCCAGGTGTGGCTTTTATTTGTTTGAACTGAATGTTCCTATGTTTCTGATTTCTGCGGTTTGTGTGTTTTGCACACAGCTGCAAACATAAGCAGTGGCAGTCCGACCTGCCGGCCTCCAGCATCATCATCACCTTTCATAACGAGGCTCGCTCTGCTCTGCTGAGGACCGTGGTCAGGTAGGCTTTTTCTCATTTGTCCTGTTTGCTTTTTAAATGTGGATTTAATTCATTTAAATGCCTCTGTTCCTCCTGTTTAGCGTCCTGAAGAAAAGTCCTGGTCATTTGGTAAAAGAGATCATTTTGGTGGACGACTACAGTGATAACCGTAAGCAGCATGCAGGAACACATGAAACTAACACAACTGAGAGACAACAGGTAAATTGTGCTGCTTTGTGCGTTCCAGCTGAGGACGGGGCGCTGCTGGGGAAGATCGAGAAAGTTCGGGTTCTTAGAAACGACCGCAGAGAAGGTACTGAAGAGATTTATCTGACCTTTTTCCCCATTTGGTTGATGGAACTGTTCTGTTTTAAATGAAAGCTGGTTTTGGACTTTCAGGACTGATGCGCTCGAGGGTCCGAGGTGCAGATGCTGCCACGGCGCCAGTGCTGACCTTCCTGGACTCTCACTGTGAATGTAACGACCACTGGCTCGAGCCACTGCTGGAGAGGGTGGCTGAGGTACTTTCACACAGGACATTATGTCTTTATTAGCTGATCAAACTCGTATGAGCTTGTTGGGATCATTTTATTCTGTCATTACTACTTCTGTTAAAAAAAACATACAGCTTAAACAGAAATATAGTTTTTACACTATGTGATTGTGTATGTTTGACTGTGGCAACATGCAAGAGCGCATGGAGACATGTTACTGAAGTTCTAGTAGGGTATATAGTATAAGAGGCTCCTGCAGACGACTGTGTGACCTTTCAAACTCGACGTTTTACTTAATTTATGCATTTTTGACAGTTTCTGTTGAGGTAAGTCTTCAGGAACACGGTCTTTTATGTTCTGCTTATTTCAACTCAGTCGGAATAAAAGCTTTGAATTCTATGAAAGAATGCATTTTGTTATTTAGGTCAAATCTTAAAAATCATGATGCACGACCTTATGAAGCATCGTCGGATCTTTTATAACAAGCAAACATATGTGATGACAAAAATAAGTGATGGGAACGACTCTGTTTCTGCCACATTGATTTTTAGCTCAATATCTGTAAACTTGTGTAAATAATTGCCTTTTTTATGTTTCCTGATTTTGATCAGCTGGGGCGGCCATCTTGTTTCACATTGACTTAAACAGTTTGGCAGTTATAAATGTCATTAAAATCTATCAAGTGGTTCATGAAATATTTAACCTTCCCACTGTCCTAATGGGTGTTACCCCGTGAGGAAAGTTGACCATTGAGCAGGATTGATGGTTTATCCCTTGAGGTCCATGTGGCAGGGGTGAGGAGTGGGATAAACCATCAATCCTGTTCAATGGTCAACTTTCCTTGCGGTGTCACCCATAACGACAGTGGAAGGGTTAAAAAAAACACACATTATCCATTGCCTCTTGGTGGAGGATAATGATAACACAGTTATGGATAATTTGAGGCATCTGTAGACATTCCTATTCTAATTTCCACACAGAGGACCGTGTTAAATAAATTCACTACTTTGGTTTTGTGTAAACTTCAGTCATAGCTCTGTGTCTCTAGACACCGTTTTCTAAAGGACGCCTGAAGCCCACTCTTTAATATTTGACAGATTTTATCACCGGGAGTATATTTAGACACTGATGCATTTTAAGCTGCACAAATAGATTTCACTGGTTTAAAACCAAATGAGAGAGAGAAGCATTTAAACTTAGAGGAGTCGATCAGCTGGGTTTACAGGAAGGAAGCTGTAATATCACTTAAACTAAATTGTTTCTCGCCCTTATTTGCCAGTCAGTTGTCATCTAAAACTCTTGATCCCGACAGCCTGATGATGAATCCAGCAGAGCTGAAATGAAAACGCGTCTGAACAGTAAACACATATCCTCCTGTCGAGCAACTTGGCAGCCGATCTGGAAACGAGACACCTGCCGAGCTACAAAACACTGACTGAAAGCCATAAAAACAATGGAAGGGTTTCTAACGGATCGCCGCTCCCTCTGAGACTTTCTTCGATATTTAAAACTGTGCTGCATCCCACTGCTCAGAGGGGCTTGATGATATCAATGAATTATTCACGTGTTTAGGAGGTTTCATTTATAAACACTGATGAGAAAAATGACAAGGAGAAAGGTGGGTTATCAAGGCTGTTTGCAATAACTTCATTGAATTTCCTTCATGTTTTGAGTTATTGATGTAAGATTTACCCCTTGCACTGTTGAGATGCTCTCAGAAAAGAAGCAGAATATGAAATAGTTTACTCTTAGAGTAGTTTTCTGTTTTAGTTTGCAATTGTTGGTTGTATTAATTATCCACCGGCACATGCTTTTGTATATTAAATGTTTCAGGTCACAAAAAATAAACTCACTTTACACCTGGAGGCTTCTCTGGTTTCTGACATTAAGGTGATCTGAGTCAACTTGTTATGAACTGTAGAGACAAATCAGGGTGAAAATGACAACGCCAATTTAGTCCCCGTCCATCTGTATTAGAATATTTAAAAAACAACTAAAACCAAACATAGTGTATGCATCATGGTCATATTTACTCAGCTCGTCCTCAAGGAGATCGGGATCTCTTCAGCATTTGGTGGTTTTACTTGAATTGTAATGATCATTTACCCATAAGACAAAATTTGTGTTTTTTATACTTGTTTTGTTTTCAGGATAAAACTCGAGTGGTTTCACCCATCATCGACGTCATCAACATGGACAACTTTCAGTACGTGGGAGCCTCGGCTGATCTGAAAGGAGGTAGCGCGCACACAATATTGGCATTACAGTTTTAGCAGATTTGGCTCTAAATACTGACTTATCGTCCATGATGACGATATCTTATTTGTACATATTCAGTTTAGCATCAGTCTGGGCTTTTCCATGCTGTGCATTAATTGTTTTAATATAGTTTGATCTGCATGCAGAGGCTATAAACGTGTTAAAAGGCTGATGTATCCAGTTGATCAATGGAAATCAAATCTAATGAGAAAATTATAAAGCCTAGCATCCTTGATGAATTTGTACCAGTTTCAGTCAAATCTTAGAAATAGCTTAACGGGTGATCTCATGTGATATCTCAAGATTTTACGCTGATCTATTTAGAGCTATGAGTTTGTAATTTGAATGACACTCAGCTACCTCCATGGGATTTTTTAATGCTAATTTTGTTAAATGTATCCATTTTTGTGCTTCTGTCAGCCATCTTGAATTGAACCGACAACAAAAGTTAATCAGCTGTCGAGTTTCCGTCCAGTGAGTCGTGGGAGATTTTGCTAACAAAGACTGATCATAACCAGACTTGTGTCGTCTTTGGCTTTACTGACAGGCTTCGACTGGAACCTGGTCTTTAAGTGGGACTACATGACTCTGGAGCAGCGACGAGCCAGGCAAGGCAACCCCATCGCCCCCATCAAGTAAGATAAGACACCTCCACAGAGAAACAAGTTGGCATACACACGCACGCACACACACACACACACACGCGCGCGCACGCACGCACGCACGCACGCACGCACGCACGCACGCACGCACGCACGCACACACACACACACACGCACACACACACACACACACACACGCACACGCACACAGAGAGAGAGAGAGGCTTACATGTCCGGTTGCCCTCTGTTCAGGACTCCAATGATAGCTGGAGGTCTCTTCGTCATGGATAAGGAGTACTTCGAGCAGCTGGGGAAGTATGACATGATGATGGACGTGTGGGGAGGAGAGAATCTGGGTGAGTAATGAAAGAGGTAGCCAAAGATATTGCACCATTGGAAAAACTGTAGGAATTAAAAAAATATCAAAACACTGGAATATAGGAATATTTTGTATATTTATGCATTTTATGGATTTGTTTTTATTGATAATATATCTTCTCTCCTGTATCGTCATATCGCCAGAATCCTGCCATTACACATCCCTAATTAAAGCGACTGTATGGAAGTTTGAAGTTTTTATGCTCGTGATCGCCACTCAGGCCTAACGCGTAACTGCAGCTTCAAAAGTAAGCTCGTGCATGAGGTGCGCACGCTGTACGTGCACACTCCTTAATGAAAATAACAGCTGAGACAGTCCCGTGTGTGTGTGTGGCACGGAGGACAGAAGAGCACAGCAAATTATTAAAAATAATGTGCCTCTGTCTCTGCAGCTGCACTTTCTCGTCGGCCGGCCGAACTTGCAGTGTGTGTGGGTGTGTGGGGGTGGGTGGGTGGGGCCCTGAGGACAGAGGACAGGAGAACACGCAGCTAATTGTGTATGCCGTGGATGCGATACAAATCGCGGGTTGAACAAGCATTTGTGCATGCTACCCCAAAGCTGTGGAACTCGTTGCCCATTGGAGTTAGGCAGGCTCCATCACTGGCGGATTTTAAATCTCGTTTAAAGACCCACTTTTACGATTTCGCTTTTAGACAGTGACTCATTTTAGTGTTTGATTATGTCATTGTTTTAATGTGTTCTTTGTATTCATCATGTTTTATTGCTTTTGACTGGTATTTTTATCTTTGTTTTAGTTCCTTAGAATGGTCGCGTTTTGTTTTAGCCTGTGCAACACTTTGGGCAGCTCCCATGCTGCGTTTTAAACGTGCTATATAAATAAACTATGGTATGGTATGGTAATTGATTTATTTGGTTCTGTACCTTTCTCTTCAGCACAGTTAACAAAGGTTTATGATGGGTCAGTCCTCCTGCATGCTCAGATCATTCCCTTGGCTTGCTTGAAAAATTGTTCCAAAATGAAAGTTGAACCCAAATCTTTTTTATCCGTGAATTCAATGTCTTTCGGGGAGTCTCAAATGAAAATTTGGGCATCTTATTACTATCATTAATGTAAAAAAAAAAAAACTCAAACTGACAAATTGTGTTCACAACTGGAGTCGAACTCAGGTCTTCTGCATGAGAGTCAGACACCTTACTAGGCGAGCTAAAGCGCCAATGACATTCTATCTATCTGTAACATTTATATCCTTGTAATGAAGTTAATTTACATCTAATTAAGGACCGTAAGACATTAAGATTGCATATCGAGTATGAAATCCATCTTATGGACCACTGAGTTGTTTAACCAGAAGACTGGAACTTTTTAATGCAGGGATTAGATAACACTTTGATTAGATAACACTTTGTATTTTTTTATTTAGTTTGTTTATTTCAAACAAAGAAAACATACATTTAAAAAAAAAAAATACCACAAACAGAAAAAATACATATCATCCCTTCTTCTATGTTTGAAAAGGAGTAGGCTGAAGTGGAAACTTATATGTCCCTACCCCTTTATACAAGTAATTTTTACTTGTTTACTAAATCTAACACAAAACCGACATTAAAACAAACAAAATGGTACAAGTCACCAAAAACCACCAAATTATATGGAAAAAAAACAACAAAAGAAAAAAAAACATCTTTTTACAATTGATACAATTTACTTTTCCTTAGAATAAAGGACACTCACATAAATCATCTATTTTCTACTATATACTTGTTCAGAATATGTTTTTTATAATTCATTTTAAACACATTTATATTTGTACTTACTTTAATTTCTTCTTCTAAATTGTTCCATAATTTAACCCCAATTATTGTGATACACATCTGTTTTAATGTTGTTCTAAACTTATGTATCTTTAAGTTTAGTGTTCCTCTCAGGTTATATCCTCCTTCTCTCTCTGTGAACAGTTTCTGTATTTTATCAGGCATTAATTTATTTCTTACTTTATACATTATTTGTGCTGTTTTGTATTTAACCAAGTCCTGGAACTTCATTATCCGTGTTTTAATAAAAAGTTCATTTGTGTGATCCAAATATCCTGCATTTGTTATTAATCTGATAGCCCTTTTCTGCATTGTTGTTAATGTCTGTAAATGACTTTTGTACGTGTTTCCCCAGACCTCTACACAATAGCTCAAATATGGCAGTAGCATCGTATTGTATAACATATAAAGTGCTTTCTGATTAAAAATATACTTAGCTTTCCCCAATAAAGCAATGCCCCGTGCAAGCTTCCCCCTAACATATTTGATGTGTGGCTTCCAACAGATTCTGCTGTCTATGACCACCCCAAGAAATTTTATTTCATATACTCTCTCAATTTTTACATTATTAATTACTATATCTAATTCATTGTGTCTTCTTTCATTACCAAACAACATAAATTTTGTTTTCTCTAAATTTAGTGACAGTTTATTTACATCAAACCATTTTTTTAATTTATTTATTTCCTGTGTGACCACATCCAGGACCTGTTGCAATTCCACCCCCGAGCAAAAAACATTTGTGTCATCTGCAAACAATACAAACTTCAAAACTTGTGAAACCCTACAAATGTCATTTATGTACATTATGAATAGTTTAGGTCCTAAGACTGATCCTTGAGGCACCCCACATTGTATCTGTCTTAGTCCTGATTTATGTTGATTTATTTGCACGTATTGTTGTCTATTTGATAAATAACTTTTTATCCAGTCCAATACTATACCCCTGAAACCATATTTTTCCATTTTTCTCATCAATACATCATGGTTTACTGTATCGAAAGCTTTCTTCAGATCTAAAAACAACCCTATTGCATGCTTCTTTTTGTCAATGCATTCTGTTATTTCCTCATTAAGATCAATCAGTGCCTGGACTGTTGACCTATTATTCCTGAAGCCATACTAACTGAGAGACAAGAGAAGAGAGCCCTTCAAACGTTCAAGATGATTTATTACTAAATAATTTTAAACAATTGAAACCAGACTAACTCTACTAATGATGGATGTATCTGTCTGAATGAGGTGTGACATGGATGGTGTGTGTGAATGAGTGTTATTATCAGAACTCTCATATCGGGAGAGGCAAGTGTGGGAGATGATGTTTTGCTCCTAACTATGATCAGACTTGACCGGGGTAGTCATAAACACATGAGACGCCATATTGTCGCATCCACACATGCCCTCAGTGAGACCTCCTTCACGGATCCAGAATGTCAGGTCCACGGACCCTCCTTTCGGTACTGGAGCCAGTGGTACAGAGTCACAGCACGACAAACTAGTCTCCAGGTAAAAAGCGACAGGTGGTTCACAGCGTCAAAGGGACCCTCCTTGGGTCAGTGAGTTGAGCTTTTATTCTGAAAGGAACCGTTTCTTGTTTGGTAAAATGCAACAGATTTTTCCAGCTTGGTGGTGCTCGGCTTAAAAAGAGAAGTACAGATGGCTGGTCCGATACTCCGCTTAGCATGCCGTGAACTCCAGTGAGATCTTGAGAACTGAACTAAGATGGGGTTGGAACTGGTTTTATCAATCTGGATGTTTTGAATTCTGGTCTAATCAAAGCTGGCAGATTTATAAACACCACAGAGTCTATGCCACGCTTCAGACTAGGAAGGTTCTGATTGGATCAGTACAGCAATGTGTCATGCGATTGTTTACGTGTGTCAGTGTGTCTAGTGAACTAGATTAAGTCATTCACATATTAAAACATATTAATCATAACATTGTGATTTCACAGATCGGTCACATGTATTATTGACTGACAGTTGTTTTGATTAGCTTTATTAAAAATAGAGTTCTTTGATTTAATAAAAGAAAAGATTCTTTTAATCTTCTTTCTTCTCTTGCTGGAAAGTAAACAGTTTAGAAGCAAATGCATGACCTTGAGGCTGTCTCATGCACTGAGCACTGTGTAAGAGGCACTAGGCGTTAGGAACAGCGACAACGTCGCTGAGTTGACACTACCTCACTCTCTGCTGCTAAAGCTACTGATAGCAAATGCTACGGGCGATGCCTGAGCGTGAACGCGCATGAAGCAGCCTGCTCGACCCGAGCAGCTTTCTTTTTCTTTGATTTTACAGAAAAACAGGCAATCACAGTAAAAATGCCAGGGCTCATTCTACAGGACCAGGGCATTGCAGGAGAATGTATGAAGAAGAAATTTATTATTTCTATACATGTTTTGGCTGTCAAACTTCCTTATAGCCCCTTTAACAGTTATATTTTATTGGATCCATGTTTTGTCTTTTAAAGTAATTATTGGACTTTTATTGCATCAAAAACAAGAAAAAATCGGATTTTCATTCCCTTCACACTGTCATTTCATCGGTTTCTTTTTGTTTCATTTAATTTCATTTATTTATTAGATCCCCATTAGCTGCTGCTTCGTACAACAACTATTCTTCCTGGGGTCCGACACCAGAATACAGCAACCAATATTCAGGTCTAAACGGTGAACTCGACTAATCTGCTTTATATTTATAAACGTTTATTGAGCCCTCTGAGTCGCATTAAACCAAAATTTTCTGGTTTTAATAAAAACAATTAAGACGGTAACAAAAGTATTATATTGAGGTGAGGTGTAGAAAACGTTCAGTAAGACCACAAGACGTCAGGTTCTGTGGCGTCAGACTCACTAACGGAGCCACAAGACTTTTTCAACTTTACATGCAGATTGTAGAACGTGGAGGTAAATCAAACCATCAAAATCAGATTCCCATCTGAGCATCATAGCATCTCCTTTGACTTGGACACAACACTAAATGCATCTTGTTATTTCTGAGCTGATGGTGATGAATTGTTAATAGGACGCTTTGGAGCATGTGTGGTATTACAGACCGGTGCACCAGGAGCACATCCTCCTGCTGAAGCGAGAGCTTGCAGGATCTTGAGCCCCCTGTTCTCTCCTCTTGGAGAAATGTTCCCTGATTTCAAAACTTTGGCTGAATTGGTGCTTGTTTGCATTTCCAGTCTCCAGTGGTGCAGCAGAGTGCAGATTCAGCCTCCACAACGACAGCACGATGTAGAATTGCTGCCTTTTTGGACTGAATATTTAGTAAAATCAATTAAAATAATTTTTTGAATATGTCTATCATCCATTTTTAAAATTAAAGCGTAAAGTACATTGTGACAGAATTTTTTTTACCCTGCTAATCAGAATGATGGAAAACTAAAGTCCGTGTGTGTGTGTGTGTGTGTGTGTGTGTGTGTGTGTGTGTGTGTGTGTGTGTGTGTGTGTGTGTGTGTGTGTGTGTGTGTGTGTGTGTGTGTGTGTGTGTGTGTGTGTGTGTGTGTGTGTGTGTGTGTGTGTGTGTGTGTGTGTGTGTGTGTGTGTGTGTGTGTGTTTGTTTGTTTGTTTGTTTGTTTGAAAGCCATGAACAGGCATACAGCTGCAATCTCCTCATGAATTCTGTGTTGTGAGTTCATGCCGTTCCCGTGAGGTTTTGTCCCAAAGGCGGCACCATGCGTGTCTCACGCCATGTCAGGAGATGACCTGCGTTTCTGCGCAAACAGAAAACCCTTTGCTGATTGTTGTCTGTGTAAAAGAGCCTTCCACAAAACACAATGGATTTTAGAAAATGATGGTGCTGCAGTGATAATGAGAAGACTGCGTGGAAATAACTGTGGTTTTCACACAATAAAGGTCATTGGCAGAATGTGCAACAATATAATTGCTGCTGCGTCTCCGTGTTGCTTTTGTCTGAATTCCGTTGGGTAGTGTATGTAGAGTTATTCACACTCCTCTGGAGGCGGTTGGGTGCTTCAGAGCTGGATTGACAGTTCAGACGCTGGTTTGCTCCTGTGCTCATTCAGCCAGCTCTGATTCAAACTCGGCCTTTGTTAGAAAGCAAATACAATATTATCAACAAGCAATTTTGAGATTCAGAAACCATAATTTCATTGCAGGTCACTGTAACCAACACATGTTTTTGTTTGTGTGTTTTAGAGATTTCCTTCCGCGTGTGGCAGTGTGGTGGCAGTCTGGAGATCATCCCCTGCAGCAGAGTCGGCCACGTTTTCAGAAAACAACACCCGTACACCTTCCCCGGTGGTAGTGGCACCGTGTTCGCCAGGTGACTCACAAACTAACCCCCCAGAAAAGATCTGAAATCATGTTCATTATCAAATGACTCAAGCTCCTCTTTCTCCATGATGCATCTCATGAGGGTTTCTCATTTATTGCTTTATTTGATTGAACCATACACTCACTGGCCACTTTATTAAGTATACCTTGCTAGTATCTGGTTTGACTCTTTTACCCTCAGAACTGCCTTAATTCTTCATCATAGGTCCAGTAAGGTGCTGGAGAAGTTCTGGTCCATACTGGCATGATAACGTCCAATCAATCACACATGCTGCTGTGTGATTGGATGATTAAGTGGATAATGAACATATATTTTAACTCTTTTTCCTTTGTTAGATAGCTCAGATATGTAACTAAAAAATATAACGGGGCATAAATTGTGATCTTTCTGCTCGGTGAAAGGACGTCTTCTGTAAATGATGATCAGTTTAATCTTTATGACTCCTGGAGAGTTTAGATTCATGCCTGTTCTTTTGTGAGGAGTCACGTTGGGTTAATAAGTAACCAGACCATGTGGGTCAGGACACATGATTCAGGTCAGACCACTCTGATCAGATGGGAATCTCTCCACAACCTCAAGTGTATTCCCACCTGTCCCTGGACACACACAAGCAGCAGTCAGGCCTTGTTCTCCTGCCTAAACTGTTAAAAACCACAAAAAAGCATCTATTATATACAACCCCCCAAAGCCAATGCAGAAGTGAAATAAATTGAAGTTCCACCCTCATCCGCTGGGGGCTGGTGTCAGAAGCGAGCAAATCCTCATTGACTCCCATGTTAAAAATACCAATTTCACAGCTGAAATAAACATGTTTACAGCCTGGTACCAAAACATGTTTTTGGTTTAATTGATCTAGTTTACACTCATGACTAGCCTGGCAAGCCAGACTAAATAAATGTATTATTTACTCTGGCCATGCTCCATTGACGGCTCTCGGTTGTGAGGCGGGTTCTACCGTTGTCTTTCAAATGATCTCCGCATTCCACTGGACAATGAATGTGACATACTCTTGTTTCACTCTGTTGCATCATCCCACCCACCAGGCGTATAGAGTGCCCTGATTGGCCCACAAAGCAGATAAAGCTCTGTGATTTGTTCTCTAAGCAGATAGAGCACTATGATTGGCCCACCATTATGGACCAATCACAGCTCTTTATGTGTTTGAAACCCCTCTAGAGAGTTGTGATTGGCCAGCCAGAGTCCTGGTAGGAGCTGCTGAGGTTCCAATGGAGCATGCCTAGACCAAACTTTGCAAAGCAAGAATTTGGTCTAGTTCACTAGGCTAACTCATGACAACTCTGAGGGGGTGAATTTTTTGTCACTCTTCTGTTTAAGTGTATTAAAAGCCTAAAATTCTGACTAATTAATGAGCATCAGACCCACGTGACCAAAGAGCTAGCTCCGTGGAAAGGCCTCAGTAGCCTGAGTCTGAGCCTCGGTCTCGCCTGAAAACTGTTCCGCGATTTTTTAGTCTCTGAGCTTAGACCAGTAGTTGTAGCGTTTGTGTATTCTTTTCTGGATATTATTTGTGCAATTGTTGGACAAAATGACTTGCTGTGGTATTAATTGCACTAATAGAGCGTCCAAGGGGTCTCCACTTCATTTTTTTCGGTAAGTAAAATTATATTTATGTATTTTAGGTCACTGCCGCTTTTGCACTAGCTGAGCTTATCAAAGTAGCTAGCTAACTACCATTTTAACATGTACTGTTTAACCATGAAATTTAAATGTAATACGGTAAAATAATTAATAGGGTATATGTCGATGGGTGTAAAACCCAGTGCATTTAACATAAAAATTGGTTGTTGGTTGGAGCTCTCGTAGGGAGACTTCTGTGTTCCATTCTTCCACCCGGTTCTCCCCAGTGGTTAGCCCGGCGCATCTCTGACCGCTGCGGCGCCTGTCTGCTGCATGGGCTGACCTCTTGTGGAGCTCTCGGACTCGGAGAGAGACCTGACTGCAGAAATACTGCAGCTCGGTGAGTTGGTAGATAGTGCTTGATGTTAGTCTCCAGAAGTCTGTATGCCATCAGATAAACTCCCTAGTTTTTTATATTTTTTGCATATTTGTAAAATAGTGGTGGTGGGGAGTGACTAAATAACTCGTTTGTCCACAAAGAGCCGCGACCGGGTGCCCTGTTCTCATGGGAACTAGTGCATTTTAATAAAATGGAAATTAGTTAATAAAATAGATTATTAAAAGGTTCATATCCTATCCAAGAAGGCGACAGACTCAAGTGTTTATTTTTAGATTTTTTTTTATAAAGTATGCATTTTGTATGACTCTTAATCCTAATTTTAGACCTTTTACTACAGGCCATGATAAGCTATTAAGTATTTTAAACCCATATGCTTAAGTAGTTCTTTGTATGAAGTTTTCCTCTAGGTAATCCAGAGAGGCTTGACCCTTGGGTAAGCAACCAAAGAAGAGAGTGCTGGACTCCCACTTCACACTCCCACTTGTGCAGTGAACACTTTGAGAGTCATCACTTCACCACGGACTCCAAGGTACAAACATATTACTTCATATTTTGGTTAAGATTGAAAAAATTGAAGCATTAGCTGTATAAAATACAGATGTTACATTGCTGTGTAACAAGAAAAAAATTTCCCCCTCCTTTGAACTGTCTGTGACTGGGGCTGTTTAGATGGGGAAACAATCAGTATTAATTTCCATCTAACTCTATGGATATTTATTCTGATAAACAAATTAATGTTTTTGTCTGTCTTTAATGTGTAACTTTATGTATTGGGATGAATGAAAAATATTCATTTTAAACTAAAACATTAGGCAGCTAAGGAGAAATTAACAAAATAATAAACATTCTACTGGTGTCAAATAAATCAAACAAATTAAAATATATATTTTCAAAGACTGGATTCTGGATAAAATCTAACTACATCTGCTTTATAAATAACAAACACTCTCCACATGGCTTTTACACACACACACACACACACACACACACACACACACACACACACACACGCACACGCGCACACGCACACACACAGTGCTCTGGTGTACCAGTGGGTTTTTGAGATACAGTAATTGACCTTGTCTGACGTGTGTGTATATGTGAATTTATTTATTTATTTTTTTTAATTTTAGGGCAGACTTTGCCTGAAGGACACAGCTGTACCTACAATATTCTCTTCCTTTAAGGTCAAAAAACATCTTCCAAGAAGGAAAGTACAGGTAAGTAGGAATGACAAGGTAAGTGACAACCCCATTGGTTTTGTAAATAGTTTTGAGAAGGTTGCAGATGTAGATGCAGGTGTAGACAGTGCCATAAAAGTTTCTGTTGATCTGAGCAATATAATGATGTGTGAAGACTCACCTCAAGAGGTCTTTGTTACTCAAAATGTAACACATGATGACATTCCTCTGCAAGCAGTTGAGTGTGATAATGCTCATTTTGGTCACAGTGTTCAACACCAGAATGACTCAGACTCTGGTCAGTTTAACGCTGTGCCATTACAGCCAAATAGCATCCTGAGTGACCATTGCTATCAAATCACAGTCTCCCAAAACGCTTAAAAGGAGAGTTTTGACAGCAAATGAAAAGGTACGTGTAGTTCAGAAAAAGCTTAGATTGCAATCCCAGAAGACAAGGAGACTGAAGGCAAGAATTTCTTCTTTGAAAAGTGTCACCAGAATTCTTCAGAAGAAACTTCTAATATCAACTGAATGTGCCTCTCTTCTTGAGGGTTTGGATGGTGTTCCAAAGGAGTTGTTTCAGAACATAAATCAGAAGAAAAGATCATCTTTTTCTGAAAACTTGAAGCAATTTGCAACTACACTGCATTTTTACTCTCCTAAGGCTTATGACTATGCTGGAGAACACTTTCACTTGGCTTTGCCTCATCCGCAGACCATTCTCGGCTGGTGCAGTAGTGTCTCTGCAGATCCTGGTTTCACTCTTTCTTCATTTACAGCTTTAAAAAGTCATGTTGTTGAGAAGAAGGAAGGAAAAAAAACTGTTAGCTCTTTGATGTTAGATGAAATGTATATTCATAAGCAAACTGAGTTTGATGGGAACCAGATTCATGGCTATGTTGACATCAGAGCTGGTGAGATTGAAAATGTTGTTGCAACACAAGCATTGGTTATCATGGACTACGTTTACATGCAGCCAATATCCGGGTTATGGTCGGGTTAAGGTCGGTATTCGGGTTTCTGAGTTGATCAGAATAACCCGCTTACAAGCATAAATAGAAAGAGTTACCCCTAACTTGCATAACCCGATTTAAATGCAGACGTTGCGGTAGCGTCAGGACGTGTGGACTACGTCCAGACGCAAAATGCGTCATTTCTGGTTCTTCTTGTTCCGGTATCCGTGAAAACAACAACATGTTTCCCAGTTCGGAAGAGATAGCGACCACGTTTGTTTGCCCTTTAGTTTCTTCGTCACTCCAAAAGTGTGGTGCTGTGCCGCGACTCGCCATGTTGCTCCCAACTTGTTGTTTACTTCTGGTGTTCTGGCGCATACAAAACGTCTCTCTACTCAAAAGACCAAGATTCCTTGTGAACAGAGCATGCGCAGAACACACACTTTGATGGGGATATCCCGATATGCGTTTACATGACCAAACATTTGGGTTAGAAAAGGGTTACCTCAGGTGTAGTAACCGGGTTTTTAAAAACCCGGTTATGAGCATATCCGGGTTTTTGGCGGTGTTTACATAGCCGTGCGGAACCGGGTTATTAAAAGGGTTACTGGCTGCATGTAAACGCACTGATGGTTGTTGCCATTGAGTCTTAGAAGCTCCCGATTGCCTACTTTCTTATCAACAGCATGAATGGGAAAGAAAGAGCTAGCCTCATTCAAGAAAGTCTGTGTAGGCTTCATGACATCTGTAATGTTGAATAAATAGTATATTGGGTTAAGTAAATTGCTTCAAGAGCTATTTATATTATTAACACTACTTTTAGTTTAGTTTAGTTTATTTCAAACAAAGAAAACATACATAATTTTTCAAAAAGTA